CATGGTTGCGAATTGGTCAGTAAATGATAATTCAGGAAAAAAGGTCTGGGGCCTACTGCTGTATCGACCGTCTTAGAAACCATGAACTGGAAGTAGTGAACCAATTTTCAGCAGTATTACCGGATATGCCATCTATTCCATAAATGAAGGAACTATGAACCGGTTTGCAAATTTTCTGAAGTATTAAAGAGGCAACATCAGCAGGAGTGAAATTGCAATTTCTTGTCGATCTGACATTCCATTTCTGAGCTCAAAAGTCAGAACAAACACAAATATTTTGGAGAAAAGGTGGACGCGTTTTTGTAGAGCAGAAAAAGAAACAAAGAATGGCCCTTACATTATTCACGAAGTAACCACCAAAACGAGGGTTTTTGCCTTATTTTAACCAGCCATTTCAACGTAATCCGTGTGCGTGCATATAGTTTTTATAATATCTTCGCTAACCTTAGAATTTAAGATCAAAATTCTAAACTCCACCACGACTTATCAATATTTTAGAATGATCTAGTTTCTACGCCTCCGAAAAAATGCTCTGTTCTTTTTTTCTGAAATCAGCAATGACAAGTCAGCAGCCCCAAATATCTAAGCCATGTGATGTCATACTGGGGGTCTGCTTTACTTTGTCATAGTAGGAAGATACCATTACATATTTGTATGTGCAAGAAGGGCGCTATATTTTGACCTAACCTTCATTATTTTCAAAAACCTCCTAGCGTATCAGCATGATAAAACCACTTTCTTCGGAAGACGTTAAGAAATGTGAACTGGTTTCGCGCAAAGGTTATTTTGACGTAAAAATTGGCCTAAAACACTTACTTTTCAACCTGTGAAGAGTGATGAGATCAGTAACTGCATTAAAACCATATGTTGATTCTAAAATAAGTGACACCAAGCAGAGAAGACGAAAATTTCGCATTCTGAAAATTACAGTTATCTTATATTCTTTATTTCTTGAGAGTAAATGAAAAGGGCGATATGTTGTATGTGATATAAAACAGAGAAGTGTAGAGGTCCGCAAGGCAGAAGCAAACTATAAGAATTAGCTTGTATACTGAATCAATAGTGAAACGCTAGCTAAACAGAGCTCTTCTATATTACATATCCCCTGAGAAGAACAATCCCACATAGCGTCAATCTAGAAGTGGCGGGTTTACAGGTACAGGTCTATACAGGTCTACCTGCGATAAAAGTTGTATATGTTCCGTATTAGCACAGATATTACGATTTGAATAGCTAAACAGAATGTATTTAAAGTTGAGAAGTGTTTCATTAAAGTTTTATCGAATAGCGCAACTATAATTTATCTACTATTCTTTTGGATCGACCTTTTTTTTCTGGGCTCTAATCGGCTTTCATTTATTTTGTAAGAATTGGAAAATTTAAGGTAATGCCTCTGTACTATACTAAACAATCCAGGCAATTGGCGATGTCGTCAACATTATATAAACAATCATAAAATTCAATTTATTATTGATGTTTACGCTATTTTGTCACATTTTGAACACCTTTTCACGAATATCAAACATCCGTTTTCAGTCATGATGAAGTGAAGGGGCTACTTTTCAAATGGGAGAATAACTGAGGTGCAGTTTCGCGTTCAATGAGCTTTTTAGAACGAGGATCTCGAATCCTATTTCGCTTTAGCGAAGGAATCAACAAATAAGCAGTAAGAACAAACAAATCCCCTATGTATTGCAAGTATTACAACTAAATTACAATGTAAAACCAACTCGCAAAGCAGAGCATTTAAAATGACAGAAGTGCCGTATATAACAAAAGAGAAAGTGTATTTTTAACAACATTCAGAAAATAATATGTTTTACTTTCTCTTAAACAATTGGCTACATGGATTTGCAGAAATTCCATGTGCATACTCGATATGTCGTAATATTACAATTATTGTCTGTTAGCAGAAATGACCGAATGAGAACATGAGTTCTAACTTACCAGAAGCATCAAAGCCTGGAAAGCTTAGATGCCCATTTTTCACTTGTTTCCACTAGTTAATGATAGAGAATTCTGATATTCTTCTCAAAATTCAACATGATAGTATGCATTTCCAGAAAATATAATAGAATAGTGCATGCTATACAAAAATGCTATTGCAACGCAGTATTACGTTAAAAGTAATAATTGCAAGTGCATTTTCTATCCAGATTATCATGGCTAAATCAACTGCACTAAATTCATTCCGCATTCCCCTTTTGTTGAAGTAAAGTGACGAGTTCGAGCCAAGTAAAAAATAAACTCTGCTACTGTTCATGGACAATTGTATGTCAAAAATTTGTTTAATGAGAAGACTTAAAAGTCTACAACGAGATATCACAAATGCTTTCAATCTCATTGTAAGACGTGAATTGACTTAATTTTAAGTTCTAGCCGGGTTGTTTGGCGGAATTAGTACATCCAGCAAAGTGTAAGTTGAAAAATGGAGGCTTACAACTGCTCGTTAAACATTGCGTCAAAGGAAATCATAGCAAATTTACTTTCATACTTCTATGATTATCTTCTCATTCGAACTTGTAGTGAACTTAAGTGCGACGCTGTACAGGGTGAAGGAACGCTTAGCGACTCGGAGATAGCCCTCCCGTTAGGGGTTAACAAAGGAAGTTCGTATTTTACCGCTTTCTAATCTATCTGTAAGGAGCTAGAATTTTGTAGCAATTAAATTAGGATTTAAAATGGAAGGATTTGACGCGCCATTCCAATCTACGTAGTTTCCTTGCATTTCTCAAATATCACTGAGTTATGACGACAATGTGACGTGGAGTGTAATTGTCTTCTCAAAATTGTACCAGTCCCAAAAACGAACATGGCTAGTAGACACTACACATTAGAATCACGTGAGAATGGGACCACCATAATTTTTCCAAAGTTGCCTTGTCTACGCCAAGCTGATTATCGAATCGGATCCTAAAGCATTATTACAGCTGAGTGAAGTTTCACACTGCAGGACGAATGACGTCATTTTTATGGCAAACACAAAATTAGCAAGAGCTGTGATGCGAAAAAATTCTGCTGCCTTTTCGCAGCTCATACAAATTCTGATCAAAAAACAAATCAGTCACGATACATGCAATTGTACGTCCTTTTGAAAAGAACATGTTTCTACAAGATTCAGATTGATTTTTTTGAGCAAAAATAAGCTTGCAGTAACGAATATTGAATTATGAAAGAGTTCTAAATATCTTGCACGATGTAATATGGACTTTAAGATGAACTGTTCCCGAGCGAAGGATGTGCGAATTAAGCATAACGTTCATACAGTTACAAATATGAGTGGGGTTTTTCGTGATATATCCAAAACAAAGCATCAAAGCGTTAAATTCGATAAGCGACAACAGAAAGCAGACGATTCTCTCTAAACTTTGAAGGCCGTAGTGAAATTCAGTGAACTACACACATTGGAGAGTGAGCAGAAAGTAGTAAACTTTTCTTGAATGATGAGCGACAAAACGTAGAGTAGACGAACACTAATGTAGAACTGCAGCATGAGAGAAGTTGTGGCTTTTCTGGATATCATAGGATAATCGTGATGCAAATGAGATTGAATTTGATGATACGAATTCACAACAAAACTGCAATTATGGTTTTACGATGAGAAATGCTTGGTCGAAGTAATGGCTGTAATCAGCATTTCATAGGGAACAGTGTTCAACAATGTATTTTGGATTTTTTCTAAATAGAGATTCCTAAATAATAACAAGTTCGCCGTCATAACCGTAATCTCTTCTTTCTAAATTTATAAAATTGGTAAGTTCGGATGATTGTGGGCCACTAATGAGCACTTTCGTCTTTGCAAAATGTTTCTTTGTTATGATAGAGGTATTTCGTCCTTGGGAAACTATTTGCAGTGAATAAGCATTATCCCTACGACCTAATATTAATACTCAGTGAGCTACTCAACAGCTCTGATTAAATGAGAATGTCAAAATAGTAGTGTTTTTGTGTATCGTAACATTAGCGTCACTCTGAATAGGCATTACCATGTTACCGTACCAAAAATCCCATGCAAACACTATGCCTTGGCTGGCTATTTGTTAATTCTTAAGAATGTCAGGCAAAGTTATAACGAAAACCTGAATTCATCAAACTGTTGTAAATGATTGTTCGTGCGTGGCAAATAGCACATAAGTGCTAATGGGGTCTACCAGTCACTGGGAACATTTCATGAAATGAGTTGACTGATATGAGCAACGTCAAGTAATTACGCGCAGCAGAGAAGCGGGATTATGAGACTTTGCAGTCGCTTTGAACCAGCCTTTGATCAGCTCAACTCAAATTATGCAATGCGTTTGAAAAAAGAAAACCCTGTAATTTTGTAAAAAATTCTATAGGGTTCTTCTTTTCTATTTTCTATTCTATTCTGAAAATCCGAATTTGTTAGGTCTCTGTCAATGAACTACGTAGCTTTGCAAGACTGCTCTGCCATAAGCATTTGACATGCCATTCTCAAAAGTCATGTAAGAAGGCAAGGCCACAGTTGCCCAAATGTGGTGTCAATCTGTATATGCAAACTAAATCCAATCCTAGCAAAAGTTACATGAATTTTTGATTAAAAACAATTTCTTTCACATGAACAAGTTGGTAAAGTTGCGACTGCCTGATATTTAACCCTTAGAACACTTACAGATGAGACATTTTTCATGAACGGGTTCACAACCACACGTCTACGATTTGTATTTGCTCGCATTTCTGAATATAAAAGTAAGCATTCTACAATATTTATTGCGTGTTCAAATGACTTTTTAAATCTATACTGACTTCCCAACATCGCGAAATTGATAAGATGCAGATGTCCTTTCTCAGGACTCAGAATTTTGGGTCAGAAAAGCTGCCTTGGTAATTTCTACGACTGCTCCAAAGAAAAGACAGTTCCTGTTTAAAATTAGGTGCACACTTTTGATTTAATAAGTTAGGAAGATGAGCATGCAAGCATGCTCTTACGTTCGAAAGTGTCCAGCAGAGATTTTAGGTTTGCTAATGTAGTTAAAAGGTTAAGGAGTATAGTGAGAGGGAATAAGCTGCAGTTAACTAAGAAAGGATGAAATCACTTTGAAAAGATAACAGTGAAACATTATTCTGATTCTAATTGACTTCCTTTCACATTAATCGAAAAGGTCAAAAAAGCCGAAGATGCTTCGACTAGGTTTCTCAAAATAGATTTCAATTTCGTTTTCGCAAGCGGTAAGGTGGGTAGTTTTGGATGTAAACCTTTGATAATGCCAACTCGCTTATCTCTTTTAATTTTACTCCCCTTTATGCTATACATCAAGCATCATTTGCTAGTTTAGTAACAATGTCATCTATTTATGCGTACCAGACAAGGCAGGCAGAAATATGCTTCTGAGCAGGCATCTCTAGTACAATTCATCAAACCTACCTATATCATGTCTTCGTACGGAGTGCTGAAGTGAGGTATTTATGAACTGCTTGTAAGAGTAGCGCATGTAGTCACAGAGCTTAGTTGGCTCCTTGATTCTAGGCTATTTTCCTGAAGTAAACTGGAGGCAGAATCGAAAATTTTATTGAAAAAAAGCCCAATCACAAACTCAAGGTGAGGATTAATAAAGAATGGCAGTTAAGTTATTTGCAGCAGTTTGTAATATATTGCACTCTTTATCGGAGATTCTGCAAGCCTCATCTGAGCCAAAATATGAATATCACAGCTAAAAATTTTTGCGGTTATGATATATGCATAATTAGATATGCACATCTTGTTCAGAAGAAAGAACTTGGTAGGAATAAGTCAACAACACTAGTTAAGTAATGAACACCAAAAGGCAAATGAGCATCGTCGTGAAGATTGTTCGGGATGTAATCCGGAAGTAGTGCAGATAGACTTCGATAGATGCTGAAGAACGTTTGCTGCAGCGTTTTGAGGGCTAGATTGGAGTGACAGGAGACGAGCACATGGTTTACCATTATATCTCCAGTGCTGGTCAAGGGGGCATAGATACCAACACCAGCTACCTGTAGTGCAGTATTAGCAACAATCCCAGAGTGTCGTAGTATTATGAATTAAGCTGAATGAATAGCTTTTGTGCAAAACTCACTCTATCAATTGAAACAATTCTCCTTGCTGCAAAATTTTTAGCAGAATCTGTGATTTGTACACACTGCCCAATTCGACTATCTCTTGCAGATATGAGACGAAGATTCTCTTCAGGTGCACAGTTTGTTACATACATCAAATGATTCTCGGTTAACTTCAAAGACTCTCCAGTTTCCTAAAATTGCAGATTTTAAGGCGATAGCGTGTAGCGAATATCATATCACAAACTTACCAAGTTGATTTGTAAAAACTGCGCATGTTCGTTTTCTAACTTATGAAGAAACATGATCACCGGAGAGAATGTTACCTAAATCACTTCCTCACTTGACAGTATAAAATATGAGCTACGTAGTACAAACCATGGATTCATCAATACTCAGCACCATATCTCCAACTTCTAAATTCTTGATGGCTTTTGGTCCGGAAGGCGTTTCAACCTTGATTAAGGGTTTTTACGAAGTCAGACATTTTTGAAAGCAAAACTCACTTCCATATCTCCACTAAAGCACTGCATTGCTTCAAATAATCCGTTCAAACCTCCTTGCTGTAATGGGGATTATAAACATTAGGTTACATATACCAAAAGCTATATTCATATAAAAGTTACATAATATGGATAGTAATAATATTGTTGTGCTGGTGCAGGTTGTACTGGAACTTGTGCAGCTCGAGCGTATTCACTCGGTGGAGTTGGCAAAGGTTGACGATACTGTGGCTGCTCTGAAAAGGGCTCTCGATATTGCACCCTCTGAGGTGGTGCTTCAGTAATGTGCGGTTGTCGAAACTGCACTTGCTGAGCAGGTGGTTCTGAAATTATTTTGTCTTTATTAGATTTAATAGTCAAATTGAACTCTCCATAGCTTTGAACAACTTATATTATTGTTCAACTTACGGTCAGTAATTAGGAGGTTTAAAACCTTGAAAATAGACAGTAGCTGTCGATTTGGTCTGCTGGTTAGCTGATGGAAATTACTGAGGTATTGAAACTTTTAGCGAAAAGCCTATTTTGTTTTTCTGCGGTTTTATGAAACACAAAATATTTTACTTACGAATATAGGGAGCCGGTGTGTATGCCACCTCTTTATAGGCGGGGACATATTGAGGCAACTGTTGATAAGAAGAGGGTAGTGGAGGTGGAAGAGGCCCATCTACTGAGGTGACAGGCATAGCCTGTGCTACCTTAAATGTTAGAGTTTGTCCTAGAAGTGTCTCTTGTTAAAGTGCAAACTAGCTCAACGTAGTTTTAAAACATTTGCATTTTTAGTCTAAAAGAGGTGTACATAACTGACCGGTACTTGTTGTTGTGATGAAGAAAGTGAAGAGAATTCATCTGATATTGCAGAACCACTATTGACAATCACATCCTGTTCACCCTGCACAGAAAAGTTTTGCTGCAAGAATTTGCTACCTTTGAGTTAATGTTACGTTCACCTTAAGTGGAATTACATCGTTAGTTTGGAATATGCCACCATCTGCATGTGCTCGAGCGAGTGGCCAAAGGCGAGAGTTTGAATGTTGCCTCCTGAAAAGGTTCTAATTATGTTTGTTTTACTTATGTCACATATTTCAGATGATTGGAACAGAAAGCCTTATTTTTCCCGTGTTTGTATGTAGGGTTATTCGATAGAATTACGTCCAGATTACTGGCTCTGCATATGCGGTAACTCGATATTGTAAATATCGGCTTATTCGGTATCAGAAGGAACAGTTATCAAGGCAACCACTACAAAATAGCAATAATGGTATAAATAAAAATACTAAATATGTATAATGATAACATATAATGAAAAATATTCAACGATAGGTACGTTAAATTTTTTTTTGCTTAGTATGTTCAAGAAGGTCACCTGGACATCATTTGACGGGGAACAATTACAGCATAGTCGTAATCGTAGTAATCGTCATAATCCCGCATAGCAGGGCGCCTTCTATATCCCACACGTCGATTCCTTCTGATTGGTCGCTCA